AGCTCTTGTGTAAATTTTGCTTTTCCCCCCGCACCTCCCTGGGAAGGGACAAGAGATGCCCCTTCTCCGTGCTGAACTCTCAGGAAGTGTGCTTCCTGTCTTTGTCTCAGCTCCGGAGATAATGACTGTCTGTCTCCCTCCCAAAGAGTTAGGTATGGGGGAGCAGGCTGAGCCTCAAGGTGAATCAATACAGGGAGCCCAGCATGTAGAACTCAGCTCAGCTGTCAGAAGCCCTTGTGCCAGCAGCACACACATCAGGTGGAATTGGGGACCGGGAAGGGGCCAACTAGAGGTGACTTCTTGTCAGTGAGCTCCTTTTCTCCTAAATCAAGGTCAGCTTGCAGCAGCCACAGACTTGCAGAGCAGAACAGCCCAAAAGAGTCTCTGACACCTGGCTATACCCCCACAAGGTGGTCTTTGACTCTGGGCCTGGGCACCATCCCTGAGCTCTTCAGCTCAAGGCTAGTGCTCTACCACTTCAGCCACAGCGCTACTTCTCACAGACTTTCCTGCCCAGGCTGGCTTGAACCGCAATCCTCAGATCTCAGCCTCCTGAGTAGCTAGGATGACAGGCGTGAGCCACTGGCGCCCGGCTACCAGGTGGTCTTTTTTTTTTTTTTTTTTGTCGGTCGTGGGGCTTGAACTCTGGGCCTGGGCGCTGTCCCTCAGCTCTTCAGCTCAAGGCCAGCGCTCTACCACTTGAGCTACAGCGCCACTTCCGGTTTTTTCTGGTGGTTTATTGGAGATAGGAGTCTCACGGTCTTTCCTGCCCGGGCTGGCTTTGAACCGCGATCCTCAGATCTCAGCCTCCTGAGTAGCTAGGATTACAGGCGTGAGCCACCAGCGCCTGGCTACCAGGTGGTCTTTACCCTTGGACTTAGGTACCTGTCATCAGCCACCTGCTGATGCCCTATGTGACTGCCAGCCGATCCATCTGTCCATCCTTCCTTCCTTCTCTTTCCTTCTTTCCTTCCTCTATTTTTGTGCCAGTACTGGGGCTTAAACTCAGGGCCTTCAGCTTTTTCACTCGAGCTGAAGCTCTGTCACTTGAGCCATAGTTCTACTTGGCTTTTTGGTGGTTAATTGGAGATAAGAGTCTCACAGATTTTCCTGCCCAACCTGGCTTCAAACTGTGAGCCTCAGATCTCAGTCTCCTGAGTAGCTACGCTTACAGGTGTGAGCCACAGGTGTCCAGGGCCAGGTGTCCAGGGCCAGTCCTCCCCCCCCCCCCCCCCCCCCGTGGCCTGAAGAGTGCCAGCAGCACTTAGCAGACACTAAGTGCCTCTTTGTTGACTAAACAAGTGGGTGGTTCCGGTCAGAACCAGCAAAGGAAGTCCCCTGCCGCCCATCACTCTGCAGCTGAGCCTGCCTAGGCCTGCCAGCCCTCGTGAGACAGTGTCAGGCCCTCACCACCCTCTCCCTGCTGCCTGGCTCCTTGACGTTTCTCCTCGTCCCTTGAAGCGTCACCGCCAGTGTGGAATGCACACGGGCGCACACATGACATCCCTAAGGCTAACCTGTGATAGACAGGGCGGAGCCCAGAGACCTCAGGAGGGAGCCGCACGGCCTGTTCAGGGGCAGGCGCGCCCCCCCCCCCCCCCCCCCGGCCTCCCCACACATCTGGTGGGGAAGTCCTGGACATCAGGATCCCTGGCTGCTGTCTCGCCCCCATGTCCATCCACACCTCCCACGCAGCCTTGAGATGAGCCAGAGCCCCGTGGCTGGGCAGCCAATCCCCTGATGCCGGCGCCGGCACTCGAGCTGTGTCCCCAACACACCGCCTGGCCGTGACCGTCGCTCACGGCTTGTCATCCTCCCTTCATCTTGATTTATGAGCAAACCTAATGAGTTTTTGGAGCAGCTGTCTCCCAGGGATGGGGCGATCAATCTAGGAGATAACTGAACGCTGTCCTCCAGCAGCGCAGGGACAGGGCAGTGGCCCCCACAGGCCTGAGCCCCCAACGCTCCCATGTCTTCCCCTTCTGTCTAGCCTGTGGAACCCAGGGCTTGGGGTGTACAGGCTCCTTTTAAATGCCGAATTGCCCGTCTATAGGCCAGGCCAGAATGACTTCCTTCTCAGCCCCCTCCCATATTAGCTCTGCCCAAAATAACCTGGTGGTGAGGAGCAGAAGGGTCTGCCTGGGGGGGGGCGGAGGGTCACCCAGGGCTTGCCTTCAGGCTCAGGTGCTTCCTGGGGGAGTCCAGGCTGTCCTTGGGGCCCACGCTTCCTTCCCTGGTGCGAGGGTGCGTGTCCGCCAGGGAGGAAGGCAAGCCTGGCACACACAGGGGCGCGGGGCACCACCACAGCGGGTCACAGGCACCCCACTTTGGTCTTCCCGGAGCCAGGGCACGTCCTGTGCCCCACAGCCAGCCCCGTGAGCTGACAGCCACACAGGTGTGACCACAGCGGGGAGGGGAGATGGAGCCAGGCTCAAGGAGACGCCCCCCCCCCCACCTTCCCCACCCCACCCCACCCCACCCCCGCCAGGTGCGGCTCACAAAGCCTCTCCTCCACCTAGCTGGTTTAGGCTGACGGGAGGGGTCCTTCATGATAGACAATTCAAGTGACCAGTGATGGTTATATAATAGTTTTTAGTTGCAGTGCTGGGGCTTGAACTTAGGACCTCATATTCTTGCTTAGCTTTTCTGTTCAAGGTTGGTGCTCTACTTTAACTGTACATGTCCATTTCCATAAGGCATTCTGTTATAATTGTCCTTTAGCTTTTTCACTTCAAGTTGGCTCCCTACCTCTTGAGCAATAGTTCTGCTTCTAGCCTTTTGGTGGTTCATTAGAGATAAGAGTCTCACAGATGTTCCTGCCCAGGCTGGCTTTGAACTGTGATCCTCAGATCTCAGCCTCCTGAGTAGCTAGGATGTACAGGCGAGAGCCACCAACACCTGGCTAGAAAATAGATTTTGATGACAAAATTTCAGAGAACCTGTCTCGACCAGGTGGAAGTGTTATCAGGTTAAACATAGATATAGCTAAGAGAATTCTGACATGTGTCTGTCTACAGTAACCATGGCTTCGTAGGCCGTCCTGAAAGTTCTAGAAAATACCCCCACATACTCAGTGAAGTAAAGATGCAGGTCCTCCAGAGAACTCGCTATTGGTAGGTGTGTGGGAGCGGAGGGACAGTTGTGTGCTTCACAAAACAAGTCTTGTGGCTTTGAGAACTTACCTATACCTGGTTTGTTGGCACGGAGCCCTCATCAGGGCTGCCTGATGGCTGCTCTCGGTAAGCAATCAGTTCCACTGCCTTTCCTGTGGCCTCTTAGAGATGTAGCGGTGCCAGGGGAGTGGAAGAGGAGCCAGCATCCCAGGCAATGAGCTGCACACATCCTGGTCACACAGCTCTGCTTTCTTGTCTGCTTTCAGGACCCAGGGGCCCAGGGCTGAGGTCAGGTGACACACACTGAAGGATTTCTCCCCTGGCTTCTTTCTAAATTGGTGCCAGAGCCTAGAGCAGGGCAGGTCAGAGATAGCACCCCGAGCAGTTGTGGCAGAGGAAGATTTGAAACTTGACTGGTAGCCACTGACCCCTCCCCCCATCACCCTGACCCAGTGCCCTACCTACAGCGGCACAGCTGCCTGCCGCAGCCTCTGGTCACCAGCCTCCCGGTGCCCCCAGCTCCTGCTCTGTGGCCTTGAAGCCCTCCTGGTGCCCGGCCCTCCACCTCCAGCCAGCCAGTGTCCCCACACCCCGTCCAGTGCCCCTCCTGCGGGACTGGCCCTTCTTACACTCTGGTCTTTTTGCCATACCCACTCCTCTACCCATCCCACGAATCTCCCATACAAGCGGGAGAGGAACTAGGTCGCCCTGTCTCCTTACTTCCCAGCCAGGAAGATTTGTGCTGCCCGGGAGTGGCAGGACGGGCGCCCGTGAAAGGCAGACACAGATCATCTTCTTTATTGGCAATTTTCACAGAGCTGTTCCCGCGCCTCCCCCGCCCCTCCTGTCCCTGACAGCGATTAAAAGTAATAGATGATCCCGTCCCACTCCAAATGTCACCGTGGGAGGACACTCCCCATGGAATGTCCAGCAGAATGACCTCTCCCAGGATCCGGGGATTGTTGTCATCTCCCGAAGAGAATAGTGGGGTGGTGGTCCCCTAACGCCATCCCTGGAGAAGATCTCTAAGCCTCTGCTGGGGTTGGACGGGAGTGGTTGAACTGCGTGCCGTTCCCTGCTCACCCACTCCCCTCTACCCTGCTCCAAGAAGCATCCCGTATCCCTGTGGTTTCCCCTGAGGCCTCAGGGCCCAGGCTAGAGGCACCATCAGATCGGCTCTAAGCAGACTCAGTGAGGGTTGGAAATCCAGAATGGAGACAGGCGCTCCTGGAACCGTGTTTGTGTGTTGAACACCTAAGGGTGGCAGCTCTGGGTAATCTGGAGAGCAGATACAGCAGCTAGAAAAGATCTGGAAAATGCACTTCTCTGCCTGTCAGGAATGCTTGTCCATTGATGGTTCCATTCTTCCTGAACCCCGGCTCTGTGGGTACAGTGCCCAGCCATGCCCCCCTGTGTTCCTCCCACCCTCCGGGACTGGCTGCTGAGCCAGCCTCCCCCCAAAAGACCATTGCACAAGGCGGGTAGATGAAGCCAGCCTGGTCTCCCATCAGCAGTGGAGTCTGATGGGTCTGAACAGTGAGGCTCACAGATCCCTTTCTGCTTTCGGTAGGAAATGCCCTGTCCTTTCCAGGCCACCAGGCTCCAGAGGACAGCCATGTGCTATTTGGTGTCATCTCTTCCCCCAGAGGGACCAGGTGCCACTTCCTGCTCTGAACAGGACAGGGAGAAGGTTCTGTTGCACAGCCATGGTGGGCCTGCCCCCATGGGGCTTTGGGGCTGCATGAACCTGCAGGTGACAGTTGCCTCACTGAGCCCCAGTTCTTCCACATCTCCCTTCCCACCCCCTCCCACCTCCCCCAGACCAAGAGCTGCCGTAGTAGTAAGTTTCCGTGCCCACTGGCTGACTCCTCCCGTCCTGTGTTGCAGCCTTTGCCATCATGATCGTTCTGGCCCTGGTCCGCATCGGGAAGGGGCAAGGAGAGGGGCACCCGCCCCTGGCCGACCTCTCCGGGGTGCGGAACCTCTTCGGAGTGTGCGTCTACTCCTTCATGTGCCAGCACTCCCTGCCGTCCCTCATCACGCCCGTCTCCTCCAAACGCCACCTCACGCGCCTCGTGTTCCTGGACTACGTGCTGATCCTCGCCTTCTACGGGCTCCTCTCCTTCACGGCCATCTTCTGCTTCCGTGGCGACAGCTTCCAGGACATGTACACCCTCAACTTCGCCCGCTGCGACGTGGTGAGGCTGGCCGCCGTCCGCTTCTTCCTGGGCCTCTTTCCTGTCTTCACCATCAGCACCAACTTCCCCATCATCGCCGTGACCCTGCGCAACAACTGGAAGACGCTCTTCCACCGGGAGGGCGGCGCCTACCCGTGGGTGGTGGACCGCGTGGTGTTCCCCACCATCACCCTGGCGCCCCCCGTGCTGGTGGCCTTCTGCACCCACGATCTGGAGTCCCTGGTGGGCATCACCGGAGCCTACGCGGGCACCGGCATCCAGTACGTGATCCCCGCCTTCCTGGTGTACCACTGCCGCAAGGACACCCAGCTGGCCTTCGGCTACGGGACGGTCAACAGGCACCGGTCCCCGTTCCGCCACACCTTCTGGGTGGGCTTCGTGCTGCTCTGGGCCTTCTCCTGCTTCTTCTTTGTCACAGCCAACATTGTCCTCAGTGAGACGAAGCTCTGATGGCAGCGGGGCTGGGACCTCAGCCCTGGCCTTCCCCACCACCAAGCAAGATGCCATGGCCATCTGGCTCATTCCACGATGGTCCCCTGCCCACCCAGGACTCTCCCGGTCTGTGTCCTCGGTCTCGCCCAGCGGGGCAGCACCTGGCTGCTCCTAGGTTGCAGGATGCACCCCCCCGCCCCACTCCACCCCACCATTCGAGGCAGGCTCCTCTGTGGTGGAGACGCAGTGCGGGCACTGCTGCTATTTATGCCAGCCTCGGTGTTCCCTCCCCGCTCCCTCTTGCGTCCTTGTCTGTACTCGAGTAGCCGCTGCCTCTCAAAGCCCAGGCTCTGGCCATCCTAACGTGGCCTGCCGGGAACCGCCAGGGCCCAGCTGCCTGCCAGGCCCGAGAGTGGCTAAATGCTGCTCCTGGGGGAGGGCCTGGCGCACCCCGGGGACAAGAACAGGAAGTGCTAATTGGCCTCAGAATTTCTAGACTAGAGCTGTGAGGGCCCTTGCTGTGGGTGCCAACTCGGGGACAGCAGGCCATGGACTGTGCCTTCCGCGGGGCACCCCGCAGCCCGTAAGCTGGCTTAACGCCCTTGGCTTGTGACCCCCGAGCGGAACTCCCTGCTCCCTGGCCACCCCACAATGGGGAGTCCTTGGGACCTCCCACAGTAAGGAGCTGCCCCCCCCCCCGTGGCATAGTGCCCTGGGCACCTGTAGAAGATCAGCCCAGATTGCCTCACCGCTGCACCCCAACACTAAAGGGGCACCCCCACGGACTTGCCTGTGGGTGCTCACTGTCCACACTGCCTCGGGCTGCTGTGAGATAGGAGGAGGCCAGTCCCTCCTTCCCTCCCCCCCCCGCCCCTCCCCCACCGTCTCCCTCCCAATCATGCATGCACCTGCCTCCCGAGCACAGGTGACAGGTGAAGAACAAACTCCGCATTTGCCATGTGCCTTCTGCTTCGGCCCTGGGGGTGGGGAGCCACCTCTGGGGAGTTTGGGGGCCCTCCGGTGCCCGGTCCTCCTCTTGATTTCAGTGCCTTGTTCCCCACGCCTGAGGAAAACCACCTTCCCCTTCCACCTCACGTCTCACCTCACACTTAAAGCTGGGGCAGTGCCACGAGGCTGGGTGCCCCCCCCCCACCTTGGGAATAAGGGGAGCTGCAAAGACCAGAATCCGCAGGCAGCGCCCCCACCTCCCACCTCTGCCTTCAACATCCACACCTCGAAGAGACCCCGGGGCGCGATCGGCCGCAGCCCGCCTCACCGTGTCACCTTTGCAGTCCCCACCACTGTCCCCCCAAAAGGTCATTTCCCATCCATGTGGAAAACACACGCACCCGCCATTACCCCATCTTCCCAGGAGGCCCTGCCCTGCTCTGGTCCAAGCTAGGTGGGCGCCGCCGCGGCAAGCAAGAGTAATGAAGCCATGCTCGCCCTCCCCCTGTGCCCAGGCCCTCCCTGAAGCTGCTCCACGGTGTGCTGAGAACTCAATTAAAACATCTGTACTTACCCTTCTCCAATTATGCTCTATCTTGCTTAAGGACAAAGCAAATTAAATCATCCCGCCACCCCTCGCTCCTAACCAAATTTTGGAATCAAGATGATTAGCATCATAAAGCCCAGCTTGATGGATGTGACAATCTGGAGCCACCTACAGCGGCCTGGCCCAGCCATGGCCGTGCATGCTCGTGCGCGTGCACGCACCTTTCCCTCCACCTGCCAGCAGAGCTCGGAGCAGCACGGGCCACTGTTTGGTTCCTGTGCTCCTCAGTCTCCATCTGTCTTGCCAGAGGTCAGATGAGGTCAGACACCTTCCTCCCCAGGTCAGGTGGGTTAGGGGACACGGGGAAGAAGACCCCCACAATACGACCCACTTGCTTTCTGTGTGTTCAAAGCAGTCAGCTGCACATGGGTACGTGAACTTGGTGACGTGGCTGGGGAGGTCTTGGCTCCCTTTGCAGGGAGTCCCTGGGGGTCAGTGTGGAAAGGACAAGAAGCGTCACCATGGAGGAGGTCTTAAATATCATCAGCTGCCACTGTCCACAGCAGGGACCGGCCTCGGGGCAGGCCCGGCCAAGGTGGGAGTAAAGGCTCTGTGCCTGCCTCAGCGGGAAGCACCAGACCTACCTGAGCATCAGAACCCGGTGCCAGCGGCTCCGGCTGCACCTCCCCTGACACCAGGAGATGGGGCAGATGGCGGCTGATGGGCTGGGAGGCGCAGGCACCAGGCCAGGTCAGGCCGCACAACTGTGCTCACTACAGGAGGCCAACAGCGGCCTCAGCAACAGGCAGAAGCTAATGTCAAGAGCGCGGGATGCATGCTGCTACTGCTGCCTCATGGGAAACTGGGGGCGGGGGGGTCAAGTGGCTGGCAGTGCCCAAGTCCTGGGGACAAGAAAGGCCCAGATTTCAACCTGTCCCAGGGGTCAGAGGCCCAAGCAAGACAGACAAGCCAAGAGCCACTGAAAATAGCTCCAAGATCCTGGGCCACAAGTAGGCGCTGCCACTGCTTCTCAGCCCCTGGGGCCTTGGGCACACGAGGAAATGTTTGTAAGGGCTGCTGTGTAGCAGGTACGGTGTTGGGTGCTTTGTGTGAGCATCTGGCGATCAGGCCTGAGAGGCCAAAGCCTCTGCGGTCTCTTTCTCTGCAAAGCACCTAGTGCTGGACAATCAGACCATAAAAGACTGAGCTCAGTGCCTGGCACAAGTGTGCAATAAAGCTGCTGTTTACCAATGTAAGTCTCCCTCGTTGCTCGTTGCCCTCCCTGGGCTTCTAGCCCAGGTCTCCTTTGAGACTCCAGGTTCACAGTTGGTTTCGTAGCTTAATGAGGAGAGAGTTCTCATGGCCAACACCTGCTGTAATTCAAGCCAGGAAACAAACCTGATTGGTTCAGGATCTACAAGATTTCCATGGGGGTGGGGGGAGGTGGACTTAAAAAAAAACAAACAAACTTGAACTCTGTCTCCTGGCTTCCTGGACAAAGCTGGTATGGACTTGAGCTTCCAGCTAGAGTCCAGGGAACGCAGGGCAGCTACAGAAAAGAAGTGGGTCAGACTAAGTCTCCTGCTACGGCGGGACTTCTGTTCCTGCCTCCCACCGAAAGGAAAAAGCAGCACTGGGGGAATCTGAGTTGTCAGGCCTTCTCGGAGACATTTTTCACAGCTATGGCTTCTTGTCCTCTCCCCCCTTATCAGGCTTTCTGCTTCCCAAGGGGTTCGGCACAGGCAGGGGCATTGTCCCTCTACGCAGGAAGCCAGGCCAGCCTTCTCTGAGATGCAGGAAGCCAGGCCAGCCTTCTCTGAGATGCAGGAAGCCAGGCCAGCCTTCTCTGAGATGCAGGAAGCATCCTCCTCTACTCCTTCCCCTCCATTCCTAGGGAAGGAACAAGCAGCTGGCTCCTGGCCCAGCAGCAGGTGCCGCTCCACATTCGGCTCTTAATTATCTTTCCAGTTCTTGGTTATTAATGATCTTGGGCAGCAAGCAGAGCAGCCTAGACCTCGTACCCCCTCCCAGCCTCACCTGCTGCAGCCTCCTCCTTGGAGCTGCACAGGGGACCCTGAGGAATGTAAGGGGCTCAGGTCCAAGGACCCATGGTCAACAGTTAACTCTGCCACTCCCATGGCTACAACCAGTCAAATCTTTCCAAAGCAGCAGCCTGAGCCTTCATCTAGACCCACACTCACCCACCCGTTGCTCAGTGTCAACTAAACCTGGCTCCCGCCAGTGGAAATCCTCAGAGCAGGGCAGAACTTGAACTATATTAGGGGAGGAGGGCGGCACCCATTCTTGGGATGGTCCGACTCTGGCTACAGCTGGAAGCAACCTATCCTGCCATTTGGCTACTTTTGCCCCTAAAATCAAACCCAAACAGCCCAATTTTCATGGTCCCCATCCAAATAGGAGGTATTCACAGACTGAAGAGACCAACAAGAAGCAGGCTGGACATCCATAGCTCATGCCTGCAATCCTAGCTATTCGGGAGGCTGGGCTCTGAGGATCGCCGTTTGAAGCCAGCGGGAAAGTCTATGAGACTCCTATCTCCAATTAACTACTAAAAAGCCAGAAGTGGGACTGTGGTTCAAGTGGTAGAGCACTAGTATTGAACACAGAAGCTCTGGGACAGCACTCAAGACCTGAGTTCAAGTCCCAGGATGGGCACAAAAAAACCCAAATGCTATGGGAGAGGGACCTAGAGGGAGGGACCCCCACATACACCTTCCTCTCTGTCACAGGAAATGAGTTCCTGCTTCCTCCACTCGATTCTCTAGAGGATAGTCTGGCCTCTACCTTTACATCCTCAGCCCTCAGAGAAGGGTGCGATGGGATTGGTAATGGTTACCACGTTTATGGCACAGAGATGAATGCATAGTCATGCAGGGGAGAGTTTGATGTAAGTGCGCACCATTGGCCAATGGTGCGTGACAGGAAAGGGAGCTCAGCCAAGGACGGGGAGCCAAAACAAGGGGTGAGAAGTCTAGGCACGTGTAAGACGGAGCCACTCTGAGCTGGGATGCCACCTACACCGGGTTCCCAAGATCCATGGGACAGATGCAGCCAGCCACGCCCCAGACGAGCTTGGCAGGTTCCCCACAACAGACTTCTGCAGCCTTCTCCACCCTGACCCCATCAGACTCCCCGGGATCCCTGGCAGGAGTCACAGCCTCGGCACCAACCAACCTCTCCTTTCCAGGAGACCGAGGGGCTAGCCTCCACGCGGTACACAATTGTCACATCTGGCACCAACACAGGTGGAGCTGCCACCAAATACCAAAGGCTGCTGCTGTCCGGAGCCGCTCCCACACCCCTCTGAGATGCCTGAAGCTAAGTCATCCCCGAGGGAGCTGCCCACCTGCTCCAGGCCCCTCCTGGACTACTCCCATGATGCTCCGGTCACCTACAGGCTGGGATATTCCCAGGATGCTTCTGTCACCTACAGGCTCCAGCAGGCAGAATGAGGCGGCCAGGACCAGTGCGTTGTAAAAGGTTTGTTTAATGACCCAAGACTCCCGTAAGAACAAACTCCAAGGGTGGAAACGGCCCCATTTCAACTCCCAAGTTCCAGCTTCTGTGCCCCACCCCCTGGCCACAGCAGCCATGAGTAGAGACTGGCAGACTCCATCCAGGGCCAGGACACCCTCTGGGATCCTTACCCTCTGCCCCTGCAGTGCTGGGCTGGATGGACAGGACTCACAAGATAGAACATCCACAGTCGGCCGGTGGCAGGACTCGAGCCTGCTGAGGTGGCTGCGCTGCGCTGGCCGTGGAAGACATCATGTGCCGCCGTTTCCCCCCCTCAGGCCAGGGTTTTTTGATAGCAGCCAGGGAAGCCCCAAACCTGCCGGTGCCCTAATTCCAGCAGGACCAAGCAGAAGATCCAGCCCAGCACCTCACACTTCCGACTCCAGGCTGGAGACCCGCCTCCAGGTGCATGGTGCTGAGAAGCTTTGAGTCACGCAGGCCCCACGGCGGGCCTCGTGCAGCACCCTGCTGTCCCTGCAGCCCGTGCTCAGCCCCAGGGTCCTGCCCCTGGGCGCCCCGTGGCCCCAGGCCCCGGGGAGCCAGGGACGATGGCTGGCGCAGGGTGGGAGATGAGGGCAGACAGCACTCCAGCAGAACGGCAGGTGGGCTCCAGTGTGCAGGCAGACGTGCCGCCGGGGCTGCCCACCGTCCGGCCACGCCTCCCAGGGGGAGGGCAGCCGCCTGGCCGGTGCCCGCCCCCAGCGCCCGCAGGCCGGCGGCGGCGGGCCGTGGGGACAGGCGCAGGCGTGGCCGCTGCACCCGGCGGCCGGCGGCGGCGGCGGGCCGGGCCTGGCGAAGGCCTCGGCCACCGAGCTGGGCAGGGAGGCGTGGCGCGGGCGTGGGCCCCGGGCCCAGGCCGCCCGCAGCAGGGCCTCCCTCCGGGCCAGCTGGTCGGGCCTCAGCAGCGGCAGGTCGTCGGGCTCCGGAGGCTCGGGGAAGAGCGGGAGGCAGGGGCGCCGAGGCCGGTCGGCTCGGGGGAAGGAGCTGTAGTGGCGGGGTGTGGGCGACAGGGGGCGCTCCGGGAGCGCGCGCCGCCCGCAGGGCCCGGCCGGCCCGGGCCCCGGCGCCTCCCAGGCCGATGGGCGGGGCAGCCGGGAGACGTCGGGCAGAGGCGTCGCGGGGCGCCGGGCGCGGTGCACCAGCACGGAGCGGCCCCGACCCGGGGGCGCCCAGGCCCCGGGGTTCGGCGAGTGCGGCGGGCCCGGGTTGGGCGGGCGCGGGCAGGGGCAGGCGGGGGGTGGCGCCCGGCAGCCGCCCCAGCTCTCGATGGTGCGGGTGGCCCGGTCCAGGGAGCTGCTCACGCCCGCCGTGGTCACCATGTCGCGGGCCGCCTGCAGCATCTTGAGTACGCTGGCCTGCGCGGAGCCGGCCGTGAGGTCCGGGCTGGGGGCGCGCGCGGGGCTGGCGAGGCTCTGCACCCCGTTGAAGCAGCTGTAGATGCCCTGGGTGGAGGGGGAAGGGAGACCGGCCACCCGGGTCAGCCACGCCCTCCTCTCCCAGGTGGCATCGGCCTTCCCAGTCCCAGAAGCAGATGTTCGAGGGCCCCCAAAGCACGGGGCGGCTTGGAGACGGAGTGGGATGCGTGATCCTGGTCGACGCGTGTCTGCCTGGCCATCAGGCTCGCTGAGTGGCAGCAGGGAGGATCAGGCTGGGCCCATGGGGAGGGGGGAACACCCACATTTTACTTCTGGGGACAGGGCCAGCTCTGACTACTAGGTGGGCACTCCTAAAACTAAAGTCTCCATGGGGAGGTGCGGGGGTGGGGGTACCTACCCTGCTGAAGGCCAGCAGGAAGTCCAGCTGGGAGGTGCTGGGCACCGAGTGGCGCAGCTTCCAGTAGACCAGGTGCTCCCAGGCGAAGACCAGCAGGGCCAGCCCCATGGCCACCAGCAGCATGTAGAACACACCCGCCATGTTGTCGATATCCAGCTTGCTGCTCATCACCTCGTTCTTCTCGTTGTGGCAGATGCCTGAGAGCCAGACGGTCTCCAGTTTCTGCGTCTCTCCTGAGAAGCAGGGGGAGGGGCACCTGCTGCTCAGGAATTTCTCACCAACACCTCAGATACAGAAGGGGTCTAGCTAGGGCCAAGGTCCATTCTGTTGGTTTTCAAATGACACAGGGATCCAGCCTAGCAGAGGCAAGACGGGAGGAGAGGAAAGGAAAACCCCACTGGGGGAAAAGGGGATGCCAGCCTTTGCCTGTGCTCACCCCCAACAAAAGTGGTAAGCGTTGGCATTGTTCATTTATTCACATTCGTTCATCATTGACCATCTATATGCCAAGGCTGGATGTGGTCCTTGTAAGGTCCGCTCCTGGATGGCTAGCAGACTCCACCCTCCTCGCAGCAAAGTCTCCACCCAGTACCTGCATTACCTAGGCAACTGGGACACCTGGAAGAGGTCATATCTGCATCCCCTGAGGTCACATCTGAATTTGATGTGGCCACACCTTTCTCCGCCCATACCCTACATAAGGCCTAGCCCAGGCCCAGACTCTCTCTTTTTCTCGCTCTGTTCTTTTCTAGCTCTGGCTCTTCTTTTCTAGCTCTCTCTCTGCTCTAGCTCTTCCCTTTGTCTTTCCCAGCCACGTGGAGTGCCAACCTTGCCTGGTCCCAGCAGGTCTACTGGATAAACCTACCCCTTACCCGAATACCACGTGAGTGCTACTGTTCTTACCCCTCTCTCTGCTCTTTTCTAGCTCTTTCCTCTCTTTC